TACAAAAGAGAGGAAAAGAAAGTGCTCTAAATGATATAAATGCATGTATATTTAAGTGTATAAGATAGAAAATGATATCACACAGTTTTATTGGATCATTGAAAAGAACTGTTTGCAGTATCATTGTTGGAATGTCCACTCTACAAGCTTTAATCTTGTGACTTGAACAATTATTTCTAAGATGGCAATATGTAATCCATTAACTAGTGATTTCCTACTGTTCATTTTTTTCTTCTGTAAATCTGTATAACTTGTACCCTTTCACTGTTTTTTTTTTTTCTTTTTTCCTTAAATAAAATTTTTTAAAAAAGTGTTATCACTAAAATTCCATTTTAGAATTTTTCAGGAAGATAAACATAAGTGAGAATCAAGTAGTAGACATTCCCTATGCAAATTCCTTACAACAAGACTATATATTATCTATAGTAAAGTTCAGGTTATTAGATTCCTGGTAGTTAACCTCTTGTTCTCCCAAAGGACTCAGGATGAATTTGTGCTATTGATTAGTCCAACTCTAACAATGATACAAGGTAGAATTTTAACATCTGTCAGGTTCCGTTTTTACTAGTTCAGTTGTCCTTGAAACTGATCATGTACCTTGTTTTTAATTTTTCTAAGATCATGTCCCTAATCATTATAAATTATTCATACATACAAAATGCAAGACACTGATTTAAAATAGGTTTATTGCCTAAATAGTGGATGTAAATCTTTAAATCTTGAGTATTTCCTGGCAAAGGTTCACTAGTTATTTATATCTCTTCATCCTGTTATATAAGACTTCGAAAGTAACATAATTAAGTTCTAATCATTTTTTTTTCAGTACCAAAAATCGAACTCAGGACTTTGCACTGCCAGGCAGGCACTGTGCCACTGAGCTATATCCCCAGCTCAAAAGTAATGTAAGACTTGAGAGACATAATGAAATGCATTATCATCCCAGTTCCAGTGAGTACTGTCATCAGACAGGAGGCTTCAGGGAGCAAGGTGTGCTTCTTACCATGTCTGAACACACAATGGAACCAGGAATCACCAAAACACTTATTGAATAAAAAGAAAAGGCATCATTAGTCATCATAAAAATATTTGTTTCAAAAAATTGAATCCTAAACATTTGTACTCTACCAACCATGATTACCCAAGGAAAAACAGTAACTGAATGTCCCAGACGATGAGGTAGAATATAAGGTTCTATCATTTAATTTTTATGTAAATTCCAGAATCTACCAAGAGCCTATCATAGGAGCACATCTGAAATCTGTAGCATATCTCTGCCCAACCTAGCGTAAAACTGGAATTTACCATGCTGTGTGGCTGCCCTGCCAAACCAAACTATCTAGGAATTGCTACCAACACACTTCTTTATGTATTTATGAGTGCTCCCTGAATACTTCGTAAGTCCTTACAATATTTTTAATTTAATAATCCTTTAAGGTGAATTTAAGCATTCAAAATATAGAAATAATATTAGTTTAGCTGAAAAGATTAGAATGAAAAAGAACTACCAATATAGTAAAATATAGATAACAACTATCACAGGGAGGAAAAACAGATCCTATATTGTATTGTATGTATTATATATTAAAAGAAATATATTATATATGAAAGAAATATTTAAAATCATTGGGGGACACCCTTTTGCTCAGGCTGCTTTTGCTGGTTGCTGGCTTGAAGTGTTGCCCCAATGCCATGCCACTCTTGCCTTGGAGCTGATTATGGACTGAGACCTTCAAAAACTGTAAGCTAAATAAACCTTTCCTTTCTTAATTTTGGGTGTCTGGTATTTTGTCCCAGCAATGGGAAAAAAGTAACCAAGATATTTAACTTAAGTTTTATATTCCACCCGGATTTCTTCTCTGCACATAAATTCTGATGCAGATATGAATTATTTTGCCTCACAGTCTTTATATTTTTTGTTTTACTGTTTTTCTTTTCTCCAAAATCTTTATTAAATTAATGCTTATTGAAAAATCATTAGGGGTAAATTATTCAGGACGTAATGTTGGTAATTTTAACTGACAAAAGTAAAACTGTTCACTCGCACATAATGCAACAAAATATGCTGCAGATGCATTCAAGAGTTAAATACAAAATGGTAAACATAAACATCTCATGATTATAAAATATTCTCACCATAACATTTCTTTTCCAATTATTTAATGTGTAGGAACTATTTGTAGTTTTAGATTCAAAGCTTGTTTTTTCTGAGAAAACTAAAATTATAATATAAATGAACATAATTGCTTCCTAATTGATACTTAATGAGTTTGATATCATTTTTTTCTTTTTTTTTTTTTGCAGTACTGGGGATCGAACTCATGACCGTGAGCTTGCCAGGCAGGCACTTACGCTACTGAGCTAAATCCCAGCCCCTACAATGTAACTTCTATGGAAAAACAACACGGTATTTCGTAAGTGGTTAAACATACATTTCTAATCCTAGCACTTGGGAGACTAAGGCAAGAGGGTCACTGAGAATTTGAGCCCAGCCTGGGCTACATAGTGAGTTCAAGCTCAGCCTTAACTACATAGTGAGATCTTGTTTCAAAGAAAAAGAAAAGTTGCTAACACAAAATTATCACATAAACTAGACATTCCATTTTCTCTGAGATATATAGCCCAAACAACTAAAAGCTGGAACTCGATAGGTAATTGTATACCTATGTTAATAGCAACACTATTGACAAAAGCTAAACAGTGGAAACAAACTGTCCCGCCATGGATGAATGAATATGCAAACACTTAGTATCTAAAGGCACATAATTTATTTTTTGGATAATGAAAAAATTCTGAAAATAGCAGAGATGTTGTACCACATTATGAATGTAGCTAATATCATGAAATTACCTGAACAGTTACAATGATAAATTTTACATTATACACATATTACCATAGTTTTCAAAAAAGCATTTTGTGGAAAATATATATGAAAGCTTAGAGACTATAGTGTACTTCTCTTTCAAGCAAGAACAACTTCACTTACTAATTTAATAAATAGATTTATTCATTTAGTGTACAGATATTAGTTACACAGAAAAATAGTTCACACAATTTAGTACTTAGAATTTCATAGGATAACTGATGTTTTCAATTGATGATTATATTTATGATATCAATGATATATTTGTTTCCCTCATCTGTTTCATTAGAATTTTTTTTTTTTTTGGTCTTTCTGAGGAATTTCTATTTAAATTACTTTCAGTCACCAACTTATAGTCTCACAGTCACATCAAAAGAAACTATGCTCCTACACTTTGATGTAGTTTTAAGTAACACCTCCTCTATGCTTTATACTGCCCTTAGATTTCTGCCGCAGAACAGTTTGTATTCATCTAAATTGGAGAACTGTTGTTAATGTAACTGTTCCTACGTCAAAACAAGCAAAAAAGGTATTGAAAGGCTCAATTAAAAAATGATTATAATGTTTTACTTTCAAATGTAGACATACAAGTTGTGCTTAGCTAAAGCAGTTCAATAAATTCAAACAGTTTGTACACATACCAGAACAGTTTGTATACATGCCTTTTTGTATACATACCATGTCCCTGGAGCAGAGAACAGAAGGAGCATATTTCTTTCTTTAATTTAGAGTCCTCAGAACTGACAAAGAACACTACTAAATATCTGTGGAGATGATGGATATATTCTTTATGAGATCAGACAGGCATATAGAAGGTGAATGTTTGTTATACATAGCCCACCACCTCCAATCTAGCCTCATTTCTATTCCAAAAAATGACAAAGAAATCTCAATCAACAACTTCAGATTGAGACAATTTAACACACTTAAAAGCACATAGGACAGAGCCAGGCACAATAAGGCAGCAAATCCTAGTTTTCCTCTTAACTTGGTCCAGCTAATATTTAAAGGTTTTAGTAAACTGTTATTAGGGTCATGGACCTACAATCATAAACATAAATGTGCAATACCTGGACCATTTTCTAGACAAACCTTACATTCCAGCATTAACCCAGTTGACACATACAGCCCACAGGAAGTAACTACCTGGTCTAAGAAGTGAAGAGGCTCAGCTGTGGGGCAAGAGGCAGAAGAGGACAATGGCAGGTAATGACAGCAAACACAACTTGTTTTCCAGATTCTAATACCAGACTGGAAAAACACACACCTAACCTAAGAACTTTTAGCCATTTTAAAGCAAGAATCCCATTCTAAGCAACCGTCTTTCCTCTACCCACATCTCTACATCTAAAAATAAAGTAAAACACTACAGCCACATATTTTGCTTGTATCAGCCAAGAGCTCAAAAAACCCCCTCAGCCCTACTGTCATTGGATCACTGCACTGTACACTATGAGTCAGCACTTCTTCACATTTCTGGAAATTCCTTACTAGCAACAGGATCTACAACAGGAAGCCAACTTTCCATTTCAATGTATAACAGGAAGTATTCACGCAGATTCATCTAAATTGGAGAACTGTTGTTAATGTAACTGTTGCTACATCAAAACAAGCAAAAAACGTATTGAAAGGCTCAATTAAAAAATGATTATAATGTTTTACTTTCAAATGCAGACATACAAGTTGTGCTTAGTTAAAGCAGTACAATAAATTCAAACAAAAGCACTGCAGGGGCTAGGAAAGAAAAACACAAATTAAGTTTAAAATTTAACTTAATTACTGTTCACTTTTTGGCTGCACACATTACTGTAGTCGTTTGACTCCAGCACAACCTATATTTGTTATATTAAGAATCTGCTAAATTTTTCTTTCTGGCTGGAGTAGTAATGGACAGAAATAACATTCTGTACTGTAAATATTTTGAGAAAAAACAATCTGCAGCAGATGCTAAAATAGTGTTTACCTTTTTTGAAAAACGGCTTGGATTTATTTGAACAGCAGAAAATACATTAATCGATCACACAGATTTTTAGTTTCAAAAGGTGACTAGGGTTTAAAACAGCCTGTACATTAACTTCAGGGACAATTTATGAGGGTCCTCATGTTTCACTCAGAAAGCTGCTTTTAAAGTGTCACTGTAGTGTTTTTTTTTTTTTTTCTTAAAACTTTTTAAAGATTTAAGTTCAGTTTAGCCAAACAGCTCAGCTATTACAGTCATTAATAAATGTATTTAGGATTCATGCAGCATCAGAATGCAAGACATCTGGTTCTAATTTCAATTTTGGCTCAGAATAAAAGTGCTTCCCCCACAATACTTTGATTATAAACTGTTCTTTTCCTCCTCTCTCTTTTTCTTTTTTGGAAGCTGTTATCCTTCATTCTTGCTGGAAGCCACCTGACCACTGCCAGGAAGAGGAATTCAAAATATTCCCAGGAGCGGCCGTGACGTCAGCACTGCATTCCACCACTCCACAGTCCAGGCTGTCGGGAAGCTCCGGCCTCCAGCAAAACCCCAGGAAGAGATAGCAGCTGAGGCCTGCACTAAATCACAGTAAGAACTCCTTCGTGTTGTGCTTTAAAGATGAACAGTATCTTCAGAGAGACTGGGTGGAGAGGAAAAATATTGAGCTGCCTTTCTAAGATGAATTTACTGTTAACCTTTAAAACAAAACAAAAGAAAAAAATTTTTTTTCTTTTCTTGGGGGGGAAGAAGGGGCACAACTATATATAACATAAGAACACATTTTAACAAACTTACAGATATTTCTTGATCAATTAGAGGTCTCTGAGTTTCTGTTCTGTTGTTTCTGATGAATTCAACTGACCTCCACAGTATCTGCAGCCCAGATGAGTATCTCTGATGAGCATTGAGTCATGGTAATTGTCTGCACCTTAAGGCACCCTGGGCTAGTCAAGGACACCTTTACCCTTGCTAACTTTGTAAGGGCCCCATTCCCACAACGTTTCTATATTATGGTAATGCCTTTACCTAAGCTCACTCTGGAAGAGCTCCCTCCCCTAGTTTCCAGAGTGTTTCTATATTGTGAAAAGTAATTCGTTTGTTTCAACAAATCTGTTCACGAGTAGCCTGCCTATAAATATATGACTCAATGCGTGTAACCAATTATGTAACGTTTTGTCACTTGTGTTGTACCTCCCACTTCTAAATTCTATATAAACTAAGCCCTCTGTAAACTCAGGGCTGTTTGAGGAATTACCCCTCAACAGTCTGCTGGTGTGAAGATTCAATAGTCCGCAGATGTAAAGATTAAATTCTGCCTTCTTATCTCCTCAGCACAGACAGCCTTCTTTTTGGTTTGGTTTGGCTTGGAAATTTTTCAACCATAGTAATTGACCCAGTAGACCACTCATCATAGGCACTGGAGTGTAGACAAAGGAGAGAAGAACAAGAAAAGAGTTTGGGCCTCCGTGAGTAAACTTTCCACAAATAAACTATCCCCCCAACCCCCAGTCTCCACGTCCCCAGGGGAAAGCCAAGCATTTCATTCAAGGATACTTTAGAAGTGTTAAGAAAGTGGTGAATGCATCTCCTCCAGTAAGAAATACTGCATAGAGATGGAAAAATGTACATATAGCATTTTGTTAAAATTTATAGTTCTGATTAACAGATTATAAAAATTCAGTTCTATCTATATCACAAGGTTATCTGAAAATAAGAAGGTAGGTAAGAAAGCACTCTGAGGGGCTGGGGATTTAGCTCAGCGGCATAAGCGCCTGCCTTGCTAGCAGGCAGTTGTGAGTTCAATCCCTGGTACCGATAAAAAGGAAAAAGACAAAAAAAAAAAAAAAAAAAAAGAAGAAGGCACTCTGAGATGTTATAATAGACTTGCTGGCCTCAGATGTTATAGCATGTTACCAGTAAAAGATATCTGAAGGATAAAATTGAAAATTTGTAACAGTTGCCAAAATGTTATTCATCTGTACTCTCTTAGGCCCTAAAAGAAAATAAAGCTCCATCTTTTTCATAGTATAACAGGACTCTAGATTAAAACTTAGATCTAGAAGCCAAAAATGTGCTGATAAAGAGGGAGACTGACCCTGTCACCTGCTCAGCCACCTCCTGCCTGCAGTCCCAGGAAGGCCAGAACTGCAGATGCTCTTCAAGAGCTTCTGACTTCAGAAGGGTCAGAGCCAGCTGAGACAAAAGAGCTAAGGGTCCAGAAGCAAAAGGGGAAGAGAGCACATAATAAACAGGAGGGCTAAAGTGATGGTTTGAGCCATAGGAGTATTTTGGTGGTATAGAGTTAATGAGGGGTTTGTAAAACCAGAATAGCTAGGGAGCCTGGGAAACTCTGGTCTGGTCTGTAGGTTAAGTGACAGAGGCACAATGTGATCAAGCACAACACATCAATAGACTTTCTTGGTCCAGCCAAGTCAGTCAGTGGACTACAGCCTCCAACAGAAGGAGAAATTGGACCCTTTAAGGAGGAACATTTCAGTAACATAACCCTGTAACTTGTCCTTCTACTCTTTCCTAAATGAGGAGAAATGGAAATTATTAGCTGTCTCAGGATTTATTGGATCTCTTCCTTGGGCTGATGCTGATCTGTGAGGATTCAATACTGTATGGTCCTGTTAGTGGAAGGCTTCAGACGTTTCAGACACAAATGAAGCCTTACAATTTCCTACCCAGAGCCTGAGTTACAGGTGGAATACTGTACAGATAGGCACAATTCCCACATTTGTATTCTGATCTGTGGACAATAGTACCCTCTAATCTATGGGGAGCATATTCTAAGATCCCACTGGACTGATGAAATGACATATCATAGGGAACTCTATAAACTGTGTTTTTTCTATATACACATACCTATGATAAAGTTTATAAATTAGGAGCAGTAAGAAACTAACAATAATCAAAAACAATAATTATAATAACATACTGTAATTAAGATATGTGAATATTCTCTCACTATTATTATATTATAGATGTTGGCAATCTCAGATAAATTTTTTCATCACCATTATTATTACTGAGAACTTTCATCATGGCTTTTTTGGTGTATTCAAATTGTCAAATCACCACTTACTACTTTGGTGCTTTGTGGCCATTATCAAATAAAATAAGGGTTACTTGAACACAAGCACTGCATCATCACAGTTGATCTGATTAACCAAGATGGCTAGTGACTAACAGGCAAGAAGTGTATGCAATGTGCACATGCTGGACAACATGACAATTCTTATCCCTGGCACAACAGCAAGAGACTTCATCTTGCTATTCAGAATAGTGTGCAACCTAAAACTTAGGCATTGTTTATTTTAAGAATGTTTCATTTAATGTTTTTGAACTGCAATTGACTGAAGGTATCTAAAACTGGATGATGAAACCCTGATTAAGAAGGACCTACTCTAAGGAGGATTATCATGATTAGAACTAAAGAATCTAGTTTTCTGCCAAGCAATGAACGGAAAGCTATGTGACTTCTTATGGGGGAAATCACAAAGATTAATGCCATCATCATGAATTTGAAAGCTATGGGACAGTACCACTTGTAAAAATCTCTTTCAGCATGCATTGGGCCTATGCAGAAGACATAAAGGTCTCTGAGAATGACAGAGGTTTACCACGAATTTATTCAGCCAACAACTCTGGCTGCAGTTGCTGAGCCAGATGTGAGTTCCAGCAGAGCAAATCAATACATCTCCTCATCTGCTGTGCAGCCACTGCTTCAACAGTAAGTGTGTATATTTTTCTATCTCAACTGGCAGATAAAACATGGTACTTTGGGGGGTTTTTTTGGTTTTGTTTTGAGACAGTAGTGTAGTTCAAGCTGATCTCAAACTGGCAATGATCCTCCTGCCTCAGCCTCCCAAGAGCTGCAATTACAGGCATGCACCACCATGCCTGCAAAAGTATGATACTTTTAGCCTGAGTAATATGTACATTAACTCTAGTTTTGTGCCATCACTTGGCCCATGGGAGCCTTTAATCATCTTACACTCCCACAAGACAAGAAGCCACCTTGCTGATAAGATTTGTTTGCAGGAATTAACAGATATCTGAGTAAGACAAGGGTCTGCCAGAGGGCAGAACATAAATATGGCAAAAATTCAGAAGCCTGCTCCCTAAGTAAGATTTCCGTTGGACAATGAATTAGAGCATGCTGAATATTCCTTCCAAAGAGAAAAAAATGTTGCACTTTGCTCCACTACCACAAACAAAACAAAGCAAAAACAAAGGAAGAGAGAAAAAAGGCAAAAATACCTATTAGCTTTTAGAGGCAAAACCTCTATCTTTTCACTTACAAACCTGACATATTTACCAAGTAATCAGTAAAGCTAATAACATCAGGTGGGCTGAGAAAAATCTCCTTACTCAGGCCAGGATAGAAGGCAAGCAACTCTGTTCTTGGCTCTTGTGACCAATGGGATATCTAAGGCTGAAGAGGATACTCCGAGTCAAAATAGAAGAGCCAAGCCACTTATCTTAGGTCCAGTTTGCCCACGGGATATGACATGAGGTATAGATCACAATGATTATAAGACAGCTGCAACTTCTTAGCTACACAGCTATAAACAACGAAAGCGTACATCCTGGTCCATCTGACTCCAAGACCAAAAACAGTTTGCATTAGAAGCCATACTGATTCACAAAGAATCAAAATTCAGATGAATGAGTACAAATATAGAAGAAAAAAGACCAAAGAACTGGCAACAAATGGTTGGGAAGAGGTTAGGGGATACCTTTTTTTTTTTTATTTTATTTAAGGAGAAAAAGAAAAAAAAACAAAGTACAAGTTATACAGAATTTCAGGAAGAATAAACAGTGGGAAATCACTAATTAATAGATTACAGAGAAATAGTTGTTCAACTTACAAAATTAAAGCATATAAAGTGGACTTTTAAACAGTGAAAACTGCAAACAGTTCTGTTCAGTGATCCAACAAAACTCAGTAATATGGTTATCTATCTTATACACTTAAATATATATGCAGTTATATTCTTTAGAGCACTTTTTTTTCCTTTCTTTTGTACAATAACAATTACACATTTTGGGTTTTATTACTGGGGATACCTATCTTAAACAAAGAAAAAGGAGAATATCTATGTCCCAATTGACCAACTACTAGAGAAAGACTCAAAGGTCAGACAGACATGATCAATCAATCTATAAAATATTTATCTGGCACTTTCAACAGTAGTATAGGATTTGTTCAATAATTCATCCTCGTAAGCAAAATGACCATGTGGTAAAGGCAATAACACAGCTGCTCACTACAGTTAACCTGTTTACTAATACTAAAAAGTATCAACATGCCACATGTAATAATCAATCCTGAGGGACCAGCCTGCTACTATTAATTATACTGTTAATTTCACTGAACTCCTTCTATTAGGACAGTATGAAACTTTATCCTAACTATGATAGACACTTAACCAGGTTTGGTTTTACCTTCTCTGCCATGTTTCTGCCAGCAACACTGTAAATGGAGTTTCACTAGCTTAGGGCAAGTGAATCAGGAAGTGGGCAGCAAGCAACTGCAGAAATGAGAACTCTTAATAACTATGCATATTTCTTTCTCACTGTGTCAAGTATGTATTTATACACGCTAAGTCATTTACTTTCTCCTTGTCTGCTAGGTAGACTAGGCTGGTGATGTGAGTCATGTGATTCACCGCATAGGCCTCAGAGTTCATAGCAGACCAGCCCATAAACTACAGGAACAATCATTACTTCTAGAGCATACTGGAGAACTACAAATGAAACTGAGATTCACAGCTTGCCTTCAAGGAGTGAAATTTAGTTCAGTAAGGAAGAACTTACTGTGATGCTGTTGGAAATACAGGAGCGTTTTATGTTGATATAGAAAAGGCAAATGTGTGGTGATGTGCAGCTATGATGGCACCATCTGTGTTAGAACCCTCTTAGTGTCCCTCCTCCCTGCTCCACTTCCAGGTGAGCAACATCCAAACACATTCCTCCTTTCTACAGACTCAGACTGAGTTCTATAGTTTACAACTGAACTCTGTGGATACTCAGTAGTATATAAGATTCAAAGATGAAAATATATACAGAAATAATTTTGAGAAATAAAAGTATAAGCCAGGCATGATGGCTCATGCCTGTGATCCCAGCACTCAGGAGGCTGAGGCAGGAGGATCATTGTGAGTTTGAGACCAGCCTGGGCTACAAAAGTGAGCACAAGGCCAGCCTGAATTGCACAGTGAGACCCTGTCTCAAAAAACAGACAGAAAAAAAGAAGAAAAAAAAATGAACAAAAGTTAAAAGATTCAGATAGAGTAACCTCTAATACTCCCGACCTGGAAACCTGAGTGGTACTATTATAGTCTTGTCATTAGACCAGGGAAAATCAGTGTACTTGAAATACTAGTATATCATTTACTTTTCTTTATTTCTGAAATTCACAATGCTAAATTCTCTACTAGTAGGATGAATGTTTTAATTCCTTTCTCTGGTATGGGTTTTAATTTTTCCCACCTGCACCCTATCTGCCTCTCAGATAAGCATCTATATACAACTGGTTGGAGGTGGGGTTATGTCAGCAGTTACAGAATAGTATATGTTTTCTTAACCAGTACTATTTTCTTTTTTCTTTTCTTTTCTTTTCTTTTTTTTTTGAGACGTGGTCTTGCTATGCAGTTCAGGCTGGCCTTGAGCTCACTTTGTAGCCCAGGCTGGTCTTGAACTCACAACGATCCTCCCAACTCAGCCTCCTGAGTGCTGGGATTACAGGCATGAGCCACCATGCCTGGCTAACTAGTTCTATTTTCTTATCAAATTCTCTTAAATTAGTTATAGATGGAAGTAAAGACAATAATGATCATCTAAATACACCTGTGGGATAACATAAGTATTTCTTTCAGTTCAGAAAAAATATGTCAATAGCAGCTTGTTTACTTCCTAAGGATATTCAGCTAGAAAACCAAAATGCTGAGGAGCCCCACCACGTATTTTGAGTTTTCTCAACAAGAGAAAGAAAAACTGGGCATGGCAGCTCATGCCTGTAACCCCAGCCAGCTGGGAGGCTGGGGGTGTAGCTCGGTGTTCCTCGTTTCAATCCCCAGTACTGAGATGTACGGAGGTAGAGAAGGAAAGAGTGTGGGGTGGAATAGTCTCTTAAATGGAACACCGGAAAGTACAAGAGGCTTTCAGAGCCAACTCCAATACAAACTATATGTCCTATCATTTGGAAGACAGTGACCTATATTCATTAAATCTGATAATCAAGAAGAAAATGAGATATTATGGTAGCCATTGCTGATTTCCTATCATCTTGTTTTGAACTCGAATAATGCTTTTATTCTTCATTTTGACTGGTTTTAGTCTGTTTCTATTATTTGATTTCAGTATGTGTGACGGTATGGACAGCTACTTTGAAAAGAACAAGAGACATTAAGGTGGCCATTGTTGATTTTCCTATTGTCTGGTTTTGAAGGTCTATAATGCTTTCATTCTTTTGTTTTGATTGATTTTATACTATTTGGTTTTGTATGAATTCATTGTGTGTGAAGATATAGGTAACTGTTTCTAAGAAAACAAGAGACACTTGATTTCCTATTGTCTTGTTTTGAAATCCTGTGTTGATTGCATTGTTTTGTTCTGATCTGCTCTGTTTTGTTTTGTTTTATTCTCTTTAAAATAAAAAAAGAAATCTGATAATCATAGACTTTGTAGGGGTTCCAGCCTTACTTTGTTACGTACTAATGCAGCCAGTCCATGAATCATGCATCAAGCAAACAATGCATTACATTTTCTTCATATCTTCTGTCCTTAGTTTTACTAAAGCAATTTTCCTACATCCAATGAGCATGCACGAAGTACTTTCTGAGCAGACTTCAGTAAGGTACTCGCTGATAAAAACACCTCTTGTAAGTTTCTTTTATAAAACAGCTAGAATTTCTGATACTGAAGGACAATGGCACTCTTCTGCCCTAAATAACTAACCGTCTACTATAGATATTTCCTTTAATAACCAAAAACTTTTACATAAGAAATAAGCAAATATTTGGTACTCTATCAACAAGCTAAACTTAAATGAGGTGGCACATACCTGCAATCCCAGAACTTGGGAGGCTGAGGCAAAAGGACTACTACAAATCTGAGACCAGCCTAGGCTACCTGGATTTGGGACCAGAATAAACCAGTGAGGTAACAGCCCAACAATTACTTAAGAATAGATAGAAAAGGTACTAATGTTTCTCTCTTATGAAAAGATAATGGAGTACATCACACACCATGGACTGGTTGAACGTAAATACAAACACATTAAGCATAAGTTGGTAAAAATGTGTAAATCTTGACCTGGTGGACTTTATCTTTCTCTTAGGCAGCAAAGAAAAATCCCAGAAAAGGTACAGACTATCTAGGGTGTGCCGCTAGTAATATTCAAAGAATTTATTTTTATTTTTACAGTCAACATAATGGGAAATGTTCCTAAAGGTTGTCTTGGAAGGCTTATAAATACTGAAAGTATTATGTACAACCCTAAATTGCCTTCTTTTTTTTTTTTTGGAGACAGAGTCTCTCTATGTAGTTCAGGCTGGCCTTGAACTCACTATGTAGCCTAAGCTGGCCTCAAACTCTCAGTGATCCTCCTGCCTCAGCCCCCTGAGTGCTGGGATTATGGGTATACCACCATGCCCAGCAAGTTAATAGCAAATTTAAAGCAAATTTTGCTTACTGTACTATCTTTAGCTGACTTATTTAAATTTGTATAAAATGTGGAAAAATTTTTTAAGCCTCAGGGAACATGTAAACTGTTTACTTTTCTATGTAGGCAGTGTTATAGAAAAACAAAAAAAAAAATCAATCAAACCAAATAAACAAAACTGACAAACCACTAAGTAGATGAGAAAGAAAGAGAACACTACAATTGTAAAAATCAGGAATAAGAGGCGAGCACTATCACAGAAATCAAAGGAGCTGTATGACATATTTTCAAAAGGAAGTAATGTCAACAACTATAGTCAAAAAATTAAAAAACTGAAACAAAAAGAACAAATTCCTAGAAAGACACAAACTTTCCAAACTGAAGCGAAAAAGAAAAATCTAAGTAAACCTATAAAAAATAAAGCGACTGAGGAAGCCGGTCCTCAGTGTCACTGTGATAAAATACCTGAGAAATCACTTACAGGAGAAAAAGTTTATTTTGACTTTAGGTTCTGATGTTTTGATTTGTTGTCACTTGGTTCTATTGTTTCTGGGCCCATAATAAAGCTGAGTATCATCGTGAGGAGGGTGTGATGGAGCAAAGGGCTCCATCAGGGTGCCTGGGAAGGAAGTGGGGGGCAAAGGCAGGGACAAGGCACTGTCTACAAGTTCATAAACCAAGAGGTGTACTTCCTCTAACAAGGCCCAGCTTCCTGTTCCCATCACGCCAAATGGCCCATTCAGCTATGAGTTTATTAACCCATTGATGAGGTCAAACTCCTCATGGTTCAGTCACTTTTCAAGGGCCCCATGGATGAACAGTTCTGCACTGGAAACCAACCCTTCAACATATGAGTTTTGGGCAGACTTTTAGATCCAAACCATAAAAGTAATTTAAAAATTTTCCACAAACGAAAGGCCAGGCCCAGCTAGTTTCACTGATGAATTCTACCAAATGTTTAAAGATGTATTAATAGTCTAGTTTATAAAGTCTTCAAAAAAATAGGAAATACAGTACCAACCAACTTATTCTATGAGGCCAATATTACTTCATATCAAAACCAAAGACATCACAGGAAAACTAGAGACAAATATCTCTTATGAATGGACACACAAAAAACCCTAAGTAAAATGTGAGCAAATCAAATTCTGCCATATATTGAAAAGATTATACACTATGACTAAATGGAATGTATCCCAGGGATGTTAAGTTGGTTTACCATTTGAAAAGCAATCTAATCATCTCATTAGAATAAAGAATAAAAATAACATAATTTTTAAATCTAAATGATTTCACTTAGAAATCAGGAATACAAAAGAAATTTCTGAATCTGATAACAACAGCAATTAAAGTCCTACAAACAACAATATTTAACAGTGATTGATTTCCCTGAGATCCAGAGAAGGATAAAGATGACCAATTCTTGCCACTTCTACTCAATATTATACTGGAGGTTCTAGTCAGGGAAATTAGATATAGGGCTAAAAGGCATTCACACAAGCATAGGGATAAAAAAAAGCAAGAAGTTAAAACTCAATTACCAAATGACATAATTTTATATACCCTAAAGAATAGCCTAAAAATCTGTTAGAATCAATAGATGAGTTTAGCAAGTTTGCAGGATGTAAGTTCAATAAACAAGAATTAATAGTAATCATATATAGTATCAATAGACAATGTGAAAATAAAATTAAAGCAAAAATTTCATATCAATTAGTATCAAAAAATAAAATACTCAGGGCTGGGGATTTAGCTCAGTGGCATAAGTGTCTGCCTTGCAAGCACATGGTTGTGAGTTGGATCCCCGGTACTGATTAACAAAATAAAATAAAATAAATAAAAATTTAAAAAAATACTCTGGAGTAATTTAACAAAGTGTAAAAGTTATACTGTGAACACTATAAAACACTACTGAGAAAAGTTAAAGAATATTGATAAGTGAGAAGACAACCCATGTTTATATATTACAAGACAATATTCTTAAGATTGCAGTGTTCTCTAAAATGATCTAAATAATCAACTCGATCTGAACCAGAAATCAGTTTGGCCTTTTTTGCAGCAAAGACAAGCTGATCCTAAAATTTATATGGAAATAAGAGACTTATGACAGTCAAAATTAATGTTGATGAAAGAAGAACAAGGTTGAAATACAATTTCTGATTTCAAAGTTTCCTACAAAAATAATAGTAACCAAGACAGGGTGTACTGGCCTAGATAAATAGTGCCAGTAGGACCAACACATACTGTAAATCAATGGAAAATAACTAATACTTGCACTTACGGTCAATTGATTTTCAAAAAGAGTACCAAGAAAATTCCATAGCAAAAGAATAATCTTTTCAAAAATGGTAGTATGACAACTTGATATCCATAGGCAAAAGGATGTCTTTAAATGCTTTTCCATATCATACATAAAAATTTACATACTTACATGTAAGAGCTAAAAAAAAGTAAAACATTTAAAAGAAAACGATGGAGAAAATCTCTGTGAAATCAATTAGACAATGGCTTCTTAGATATACCAAAAATACATGCAAAAAAAGAAAAAAGACTGATATTGTCAAAATGAAAAACATTTGTGCTTCACCAATAAAATGAAAAGATAACCCACAGAATGGGAGAAAATATTTTAGATCCTATATCTGATAAGGAACTATACCTAGAATAGAATAGAGTAACTCAATTAAAAACATAATAACCCAAATAAGACACGGGCAGTTGTAGATATTTTTCTAAAGAATATATACAAACTGCCAAAAAGCACACAGAAATTATGAATCACAATGAAAATGCAACTAAGCCAGGTATAATGGTGCACACCTGCAATCCCAGTGCTCTGGGAGACTGAGTGAGGCAGGAGGATTGCGTGTTTGAGCCCTGCTTAAGCAGTTTAGTGAGATCCTGTCTGCAGGTGCAGAAAAGAGGAAAAGAAAAAAAGTACAATGAAATAGCGTTTTATACAAAATAAGATGCCCACAGTAAAAAAAAGTGGTGTCAATTGTTGAAGTTGTGGAAGAATTGTTACACTTATATATCACTGTTAGTCAAATACACAATGGTGCATTTACTTTGGAAACAATTTGGTAAACAATGCTAAATAAAGTTGTCCTTTGAGTATTCCACTTACAGATATATACTGAAGAGAAATAAGAAGTTATGTCCATACAAACACTTGTACATGCATATTTATTGCAGTATTCATAATAACAAACATGAAAACAATTCAAATATTCATCAAAAGACAAAAAATGCAGTGCATCTATACAATGGAATATTATACGGCCATGAAAAAAATGATAGAGGGATGAACTCTAAACTCATTATGCTAAGTAAAAAAAATTATGGAAGAACATATGCTGAATCTAACATTTATATGAAATGCCCAATATAGCCAAATCCATAGACAAAAAGTAAATTGGTGCTTATTTAGTGCTAGAGGCTTTAGGAAAAATGCAAAGTAACTCCTAATGGGTAAGAAGTTTCTATGGGGGATGTTGAAAATGTTTCTATTGGGGATGATTATAATGTTCTAGAGCTGATAGCTGTACATTAACCTGATTGATATACTAAAAACTAGTGAATCATATATCTTAAAAGAACAAATATATTATGTTAATTCTTGACATTTAAAAATAAGCTGTTATATACTTGTTTTACGTAAGTCCTTTTAGATACTTATACCACCTGACAGGAAAGGAAGCAAACAAAAAAAGTAAAAGTCCACTGTACACAGCCTCAACTAATCTGGAAATAAGTGAATAAAATGCTTGTTTACCAAAGGCATCAATTTTCTGACATGTAAACATGCATTACAAAGATGTTATAATTAATTTCAGCTCTAACTTATACATTATGTCTAGAACTTCTCCAAAACAGTCTACCAGAATTGACAGCATTATGCGTGATGAAATGAATAGATACTTTTAAGAAAAAGAGACGTGATAGGTATCCATTGCTGATTTCCTATCGTCATGCTGTGAAATCCAGTAATGCTTTTCTTTTTTGTTCAGAGTGGCTTTAGTCTGTTTTGTATTATTTAATTTCAACACACATGAAGGTATGGACAACTGTTTTGAAGAAAACAAGAGACATTATGGCAGCCATTGTTGATTTTCCTATTGTCTGGTTTTGAAGGCCTGTAATGCCTTCATTATTCTGTTTTGATCAGCTTTATACTATTTTGTTCTGTATGAATTCATTGCATGTGAAGATACAGACAACTATTTAGCAGAAAACAAGACACATTATAGTAGCCACTGATGATCTCTTATTGTCTTGCTTTGAAATCTGTGTCACTTATATTGTTTTCTTCTGATCTGCTTTGTACTATGTTTTGTTGTACCCTCTTGAAAATAAAAAAAATTGAAAAAAATTAATTTCAGCTCTAATGGGCACAATATTTGATGACAGTATTGCTCTTTTATTTATTTTGATCTGACTTTTGGTCTACGTAATATACATGTACAAGAAGACTTCAAACAATAACTCTAGTAAAATACCAATCACAGTAACAGTTGGTTACAATAACCCAAAATTCTCATTAGAATACTCTTCCTCAGCAGTGGAGAGCACTACAATAAGCCACCCATGGCCCCAAATCACTTCCCCTTCCTTGGGATAAATCATGGCCAGATCACGTAAATAAATACCCTGTTAAAACATGAATGCAATTTTCAAATTTGGACTTAAAAATAGGAAGTTTCTCACAGCAATGCTAAGACCTCGCAGTGCAAGCCAAACACCGGAAAGTAAAACAAGTGCTCGGAGGTGGGGACCGTTCAGGGCTGTGTGAAGGAGGCCTGCATTCGCTCCACACCCAGAGCACACGCAGTGGCACGCCTTGTAATACTTGTGCTTTGTAGTCTGCAAAAGACTTCTAGTGCTATAATTTCGTCTGATCCTTACAACCTCTACTAAACCCTTTTCTTTCAAATAAATTGTAATAAGTGTGAGTAATAAATTCTGTAAACTCAGTCAATATGAACCTAACAGTACAAAATTATTTTTTCACAATTCCAATGTAATTAAAAACAGTTCTTTACGCTAACATTTATTCACTGATATACTACTTTTAAAACATAATTTTTCATATAATGTAGATTGCCTTCTAAAGTTAATCAATTAATTTGGAAATTTGTTCTTCAGTTCAAAAGGTCCTTTTTATTTCCCAGGATAAGCTTTGTCTTGTTTCTTTTTTTGTTTGTTTGTTTATTTTAAAGAGAATAAAACCAAACAGAACAAAACAAAATGAAGCCAATCAAAACGTTTTAAAGCAAAAATACAGGACTTCAAAACAAGATAATAGAATATCAACAACAGCTACCATAATGTCTCATTTAATCTTCAAAATAGCTGTCTATAACATCAGACATATTACAATCAAACAAAACAAAGCAGAAGAAAAATCAATCAAAACAAAACAATGCAAGTGATACACAACTTGAACAGAAGACAATAGGGAATCAACAATGGCTATCACAATACATTTTTTTTTTTGTACTGGGGATCAAACTCATGACCTACTTGCCAGACAAGTGTTTGTGCTGCTGAGCTAAATCCCCAGCCCCCATAATACATCTTCAAAATAGCTGCCCATAGCATCAGACATAACAGAATCTAACAAAACAATAAAACCAAACACAACTGAAACGATACAGGACTTCAAAACAAGGCAACAGGAAATCAACTGGCTACCAGCTTCCCTTTTTAGACATTTCCTCTTCTTTCGCCATTATGCTATAGTACATTTTGAATTCCACTAAATTCTTCAGTTTTTCCCTCTGTAATTTCAAAGGAAATAAAACAGAGCAAAAAAAAAAAATAAACGAATGGAAATACTGATAAAGACAGTAGAAAATCTACAATAGTTCCCGTATTGCATATGGCTGTCCTCCAAACAGCTGCTTAGCTTTAGGCTTGCAAAGTCAATCAAACAATACAGTTCTTCTCAATAAACTGGTTGCTCCCCCGATGGGGGTGGGGAGAGGTATTCTCCTCTCCCTAGCCCAAGTGCCAGCCAGCTCAAAGAGGGCATGCAGGTGCTGAGCTTCCTTCCTCGTTCTCCCTAATCCATATTCCAAATGCCATTTCATTTCTAACTTAACAGATGTGGAAGATTATTCACTATTTCACACTTTTTGTTGCAATGTAACCAGACAGAACTTGGCTATTCACCACACTCGGGCCACACCACCAGGGGATAGCCAGACTGCTGATCTGGAGAAATACAGGCTGATAGGTATTGAGATGAAATGCACTTTGATGCTTGTGGTGTTTCATGTTTCACTGACTTTGCACATTTAGAGTTGGCGGTCTGAACATCTATTCAGAGGATAACAGTATACAGTGTGGCATCTATGGGGAATCTCCTGTAGAAGGTGGTGGCCACTGTTAATTCCCTATTATCATGTTTTGAAATCCTGTATCACTTCCATTGTTTTGTTGGGTTGGGTTATATCCTGTTTTGTTTTGTATTTCAAAGACAGCAAGCTATATTATGGTAGTCATTTTGGACTTACTACTGTCTTGTTTTGAAGTCCTGTATTGCATTCATTGTTTTTTTATAGGTTTTTCTGCTTTATTTGATTTTTATTATATCTGAGGACATAATGTTTTGCTATTTGGAGGACAACCAGAGGTATTATGATAACCTTGGTTGATTTCGTATTATTCTGTGTCACACTAGTTTGTTTTGATTGGCTTTATTCTATTTTGTTATGCTTAATTTTATATTTTAAAAAAAATTTTTAAAAGAAACGTTTTAAAGATTTTTCATTCAAAAAAAGGAACTGTAGAGATATAACAAAATTGTCAGAAGCCATTTGAGTTGATTTTTGTTTTAAAGGAGAAAAGAACCAATGAAAACACAAATAGTTTTATAAAAATGAACCATAATATTAAAAGTTGTCTAGAGACAGCCCTTAAGCCAGAGCCCAGAATCCCATTGCTTCAAGTCACATAGTACTAAAGAAGTGGCACAGTAAAATGGGACAAAATAAGCTTCTGTAGGGGGCCTTACTCAAGACTGTGGTGCCAGATCAGGAAATGTAGGTCCCAGCTGGGCCCTCATTAGTACAGAAGTGCAAAGAAGGAATGAAATCTTCAGCCAAAGATGGGTATGACAGTTGACTTTAATAGGATGTGGAAAAAAATCTCTGAGCTAAAGATGTTAATAGGGAAGAATCAGCTAAAAGTTGACTGCAAGACATACTTAAATCACATATATAGCAATTTTCTATGCACAGAAAGGAAGTAGGAAGCATTATTGGGAAGAAAAGGGTGTCAGTTAACAAAATCCGCAAGAGTGGTGAGCAGATCAGTATCTTGGAGGGCAACTGCTTGGAGAGAATCCCTGACTGGGCACCATGGTGCCACCATCAGTGAGACCTGCTAGATGTCAAGTATTCAGATCAAAACTGCCAACCCAGCTGAAGGCGCTTCTGGCAGGCAGGTTACTATTCCTGGCTCAGCTGCCTGCATTAGTCTGGCCCAATAGCTAACCAGCGCCAGGCATTTTTCTGAGAAAGGCATAGGGTGCAGCTAAAAGAGTGTAGGTTCACTCCTAACCCTCTTCTACTGTTTTCTCACGACCCAAATGTATAATTTCTGGTCAGTGATTCCAGGTTTTAAATAATTCCTAAATGTTCAGTTTTTATACCTTCCACTAAGAATTTTAAAAACCACATTCTCTGTTCAGCTGCTAATGCTGGGATTCATATTTAATTTTATAAGCTTTTTCTTGTTTTTAGTTTTTTTGACTTATGGATTTTATTTCTGTTTATCAACAAGAAATGTAAGAACAGAATGTTAATTTCACTTTAGTTCTGTACTGTCAAAAATTTAAGAATTAAAAAAGGATTGGTTAGAAAAAAACAGAAAGAGGTTTTAAAGAATGTTTCTAAAATTTACTCTTTTTAAAGGGCATATTTTAAAAGCTCTATTTAATAACTAATGAAACTTTGTGTTACCTTGAAACTTTTTATTTTTAATTTTACATAAAAAACATTTAGCTCCTAGGAAACAAAAGGTGAATCTTAAAACTTTATCAAAGCTTAGAAGAAAAGTATTCTAAAAGAGTTGTCACTAGGTGGACCCCTCTTCTCTTCTCCGCCGCCCCCCCCCCCATTCTGCTAGGCGGCTTGCAGTACTAACAGAGTATTGCATTCCTTGGGTGGAGATGGCACACTCGCATAGCACTTCTTAATTCCTTTTTTCATCCCCTTTCCTCCCCTCCTTCTCTTGCTTAGCATCTCAACTGAGAAAAGTCTCTACTTCCAACTGCTTTTTGTTGTTGTTGTTGTTTGCCCCTTATTCATACTTTGAGTTTCCCAGACAAGAGAAACCATGTGATATTTAAGTTTGTGTGTCTGATTTATTTCATTATCATATCAAGCTGCATCCATTTGCCTAAAAATACTTAAAGTTTACTTTTCGTTAAAGCATAGTAGTACTCCATTGTGTATAAATATCGTATTTTCTTTATCCATCCATTGGTTGATGGATACATAGGCTGCTTCCAGCTTTTAGCTATTATGAGTTGTGTTGCTCTCAACATAGGTATCCATGTATTACTGTAATATGATGTTTATTAATCTTTTGGGATGATATCTAGAAGGGGAATAGCTAGACTAAATGGTATTTCTTGTTCTAGTTTTTTGAAGAGTCTCCACACAGATCCCCATAGTGGTTACACTAGCTTACATTCCCACCAACAATGTAGATGTGTTCCTTTTTCTCTTTTCTTTTGTCTTTTGGGACCTGGAATCAAACTCATGACCTCGTGCTTGCAAGGTAGGGGCTGGACCACTGAGTTACATCTCCGGCCCTGGAAGTGTTCCTTTTTCCTTACATCCTTGCAGCACTTGTTATTATTTGATTTGTTATGACAGCCACTCTTTCTGGTATAAGATGGAATCTCAGTGTTGCTTTAATGTTGAGCATTTCTTCATGTATTTATTGGCCATTTGCAGTTCATGTGAAGTGTCTATTCATTTAGTTGTCCCATTCGTTTTTTGATTGGGTCTTTTATCTTGAGGAGTTTTTTATTCTTTACATATTCTAGATATTAGTCCTTTGCAGAATAGCTGACAAAATTGTTTCCTATTCTGTAGGGTTTTTTCCCCCTCCATTGGTTGTTTCTTTTGCTGTGTATAAGCTTTTTAATTTTATATGATCTCATTTGTTGATTCTTGGTACTAGTTCCTGTGCAACAGGAGTTCTGTTCAGAAAGTTCTTGCTTATATCAAGAGTTTTACCTATTTTTATCTTTCAGCAGGTTAAGTGTTTCTGTTTTATCATTTAGTTCTTTGATCCATTTTGATGTTAGTTTAGTACACTGTGAAACACATGGGTCTAGAGTCAATCTTCTACATGCATATAGCCAGTTTTCCTAACACCATTTATTAAAGAGGCTGTCTTTCTTCTAGTGTATGTTACTGGCCCCTTAGTTAAAGATCAAATAGCTGAATGTACTTGGGTTTGTTTCTGCATTCTCTGGTCTGTCTCACTGATCCATGTGTCTGTTTTTATTCCAGTAACATGCTGCTTTTATCACAGCAGCTTTGAAATATAACTTCAAATCTAGGACTGTAATTCCTCCTGGTGTGCTTGTTATAGGATTGTACTTGCTATTCTGAGTCTCTTTAGGATCCATATGAATTTTAAGAATTTTTTCCTTCATCTGTAGTGGATGCTATTGGAATTTTGATTGGGACTGCATTAAATACATGAGTTTTGAAAGTATGGCCATTTTGATTAGATTGGTTCTGCCTATCCAGGAACTGGGGATATCTTTCCATCTCCTGATGTCCTCTTCTATTTCCTGTTGCAGCATACTGTAGTTTTCACTGTTGAAGCCTTTCACTTTCTTGGGCTGGAGATTTAGCTCAGCAGCTTCAGCACCTGCCTGGCAAGCATGAGGCTGTAAATCAAATCCCCAGTACCCGCCCCCCCCCCCAAAAAAAAGCCTTTCACT